TAAGACCTTCAGCGCTATAATTAACCCACCACAGTCTTGTATAATGGCTGTTGGCGCATCTGAAAAGCGTCCTATTATCGAGAATGAGAAAGTAGAGATAACAGAAATGTTAGCAGTTACACTTTCAGTCGACCACAGAGCAGTTGATGGAGTATTAGGAGCAAAGTTCCTAAACGCCTTTAAACATTACATAGAAAATCCTCTGTCAATGCTAATTTAAGAGTTAAAGGCCTCCTGACTTGTCAATGTTGTTGCGACACAAGATTAATATCTTTCAAGCTACTATTATAAAAGTTAATGGATCTAGAGAAGCGCAAATATGACTATAGAAAATTTGCATAAAAACAATATGACTAAAGTGTTCGAGCAAATTAGAAAGAGAGGAGAAAACATTGAGCAACCCAAACTAGTATTCAGATAAGAAAATAAGGCAAATCGCGCATTGCGACCAAGCATGGATGCAAAATCATTTCTTCAAGGTCAACAAAAATGCACCAAAAACATCTCAAACTCTGGCGCACAATAAAAATTTCAAGCATTTGTGGATACAAAAAGTTAAAATATACGATAGTAATTAAACACTTATAAATTACAAGTCACTAAAGTGCTTAAAACATTGGGCCTAGAACAAAAAGAAAAGGTAGGATTTGCTTTTGCAAAAGCAAATAAAATATCAGCGCCTCAAGCAGATAATAAAGCGAAACTTGCATAGGCTAAAATTTAGTCGTTTACAGCAATTAAATCACTCCAAGATAGCTATTTCATGGTCCCATAAAAAGAAAGATAGTGGTATATTTTTTGATGCAAATAAAGCACTAAAGTAGTAGATCCCTCTTAATACCTTCGATAATTCACCTAGAACATTTGGGAATGTATAGAAAGACCTCGTGGAAAAACATAATATTAGTGTTAATCCAGTCAAAAAAAACTTCGCCTGTAAAAGATAAGATTGCGTTCTTTAATAATCCATCTCGTACTTCAGACTCTTAGAGTCTCCAGGTCACATTGGTTTGGCTGGTAGGTCTATACTTCACATAGATAATAAAAATCAGTCAAATCCTTCAGCGGCAACACCGTCACCTAGTACCATGTATGGTAACAAGTTTTCTGCGGTTCAAAATGATGCAAGAAAATACCATATAAATAAAATTGGCCCAAGAGAAAAGAGGCTTGTGGATAATCTAAAGATTTCCAACGATGTTAGAAAAGACAATAAGATAAAGAAGCCTGAGCTATTTGAACCAAGAAAAGATGCTAAACTGTCTAATGTTAATGTAAAGGCAGTAAGCGACCGCCTAATATAAATTAATAAGCTATATCTTTGTCTGCACAAGTGGTGATAATTCAATGAATTATTACCACTTCTTCTTTTATCACCAACAGACTGAAGTAGCGCT